AGCCCCATCTGCCAGGGGCAAGCCGGAACTCTACTTCGGGAGGGACCAGGAGGCCTGTGCACCCAGACTCATCATGACAAGGCCCAGCAGCACCAAGAGGATCTGGCTGGAACCATCTTGAACAGACCTTTGTATGTTGGGCTGGGGTCCATTAGGCTAACATTGATCCCTGCAATCTGGGCAGCCCTTGAGGTGGGATTCTCTGATGTGACACGTTAATCCAGCTATTGCTTTTTTCACCATAAATACAAAAATTGGTTTAAAAAAGATGAACTTAGTACAGCCTCTTGAATTGGGCGACGAGCAGATAAACCACTAGGCTTGGTGCCCTCTGCGGACAGCCTGTGGCGGACCAGGGAGGATGGAGGTGGCAGAGACTGGCCTGCGGTACTGGCCACAGAAGCCCACAGTACTGGTCGCAGTGGACATAGGAGGACAGAGGCGGTAGAGGCTGGCCTTTAGTACTGGCCACAGGCTAGAAGACCTTAGGACAGGTTCGGTGAACCACTGCCTCAGCCTGTGGACCGATTTCTAAGGCTGTCACCAACTGTGCCCATGGTGTTGGGCCTCAGCTAGCATTGAGAAATGCACCCTATGTGGGACATGGTCACTTCGGATAAAGGGGCCAATTTTGTGGGAACCATGGGCAGGGTTTTTCCGCCATGTGTCCCAGTGTGAGGACCCAGGCTTGGCTGCATGCCCACTGAATTCTTCATAGATAGACTGGCATTCTGGGAAGTTCTGAGCCCCTTGCTTTCTTCTCAAGCTGCTGCTGAGGAACCAGTGGCTCCCAGCACGGCACGCACCTTCTGCAGTGGGGCAGGTAGGAGGTGATTCTCCGAGAGGAGGCCTGGGACATGCCCTGGCCCAGCCTCTCCCTGTGTTGGTGCCTCATCTCCTCCGGGAGGCCGGGGCCCTGGGCCAGGGCAGCGGTGAGGCCGCTGTCGGGCTCTGGGAGCTATACTGGGGCACGGTGGGTGGAGTGGACAGAGGCTCCTGAGACATAACTCCCAACAGAAGGTTCAGGATGCCCTGCTGTGGCCTCCTCCATGGCCACGGGTGTCAGGCCCAGAGTGGTCTATGCTCTATGCTCTATGGGGCCAGGCTTTCCAGGGGAGGATCCAGAACCAGTGGGCATGGGAACAGCCAGGAAGACCACTTAGCTTCCCCCAGGATACGTGAAGACCCCCAGCATGGAGAGACCATCATCACACCATTTTACAGATGAGGAAACCAGAAAACTGTCCAAATGACACAGAGCAGAGCCAGGCCCTCTGTTGCCAAAGCTCTCGCTAATGACCTGGGGCTTGAACACTCAGAGCCTCAGCTGGGACATCCAGCATTCACTGGGGCCCCACCCTGAGCCAGGGTCTGCACTTCTTGTACTCAGCACAGGCCCTGGCCGATCAACCCCATTGGTGCCTAGGCTGAGCAGGGGCTGAGACTGATGTCTGGTTCGTGGTGGGGCCCCGGGTCACAGGAGCTGCTGAGTCCACATCCAGGGCGGGTAAACAGATTAAGAGAGCCCGGTGGCACTGTCACCTCTGAGAGAACCATGTCCATGCCCGAGACATCAGATGCACCTCAGGGTTCTGTGTGGACAACACTGAGTCGAGCCCCCAGACCTCACAGAGGGAAAGCAGACCCCATGCCAACCCATTCTCCCTACCCAGGGCATCAGGCAGCAGCTGTGGCCTGGGAGCTGGGAGTGCCTCTGGGGGAGAAATGGCCAGAGGGCGGTACAGAAGCGGAACTTGTAGTACAAGGCCGCATAGCGCATGGCCTCCCGGACAGGAGGCCTGGTGCCACTGTGTCTGATCTGGTCCCCTGGGAGCCTGAGGGTAGCAGGGCACTGTGGTCCTCTGGGGTGACACGCAGGAGGCCTCTGCCTCAGGAGCATTATCAGGGGCCCAGAGAGATGGCCCGTGACCTCCGGTACAGCATCACACTGACCCGTTGTCCAGACCGTTCTGCCCAATCTTCCTCCCTATGTCGCCAACCATTACCCCCGGCATGGGGAGCAGGGTCTTCGGGTCCCGGATCTGTGCAAAGCCACAGAGATCAACTTAGGATGGCTGGAAATGACAATGACTGTGCCAGAATGGCTGATGGCTGGGCCAGGGACTCTATCTGGGCGGCTGAGGGTCACCCTGGTCCCCTGCAGTGACACGTCCCCGTCCTAGCCCCAGGCAGGACCTGAGGATGGCTCACGTCCAAGTCCCACGGCTCTCCACACTTCACTGGGCCTTTTACACCTCACATTTCCCAGGGTACCACTCCGGGTCTCAGTGCCCTCAGAAGGGCACCCCCCCAACTCCATACCTGAACCTTAAGCTTGGGGCCATGGACCCAGCTCTAACTAAAAGACCTGGGAAACTCGCTTCCTTCTCTCTCTTCTACCTCCATTTCTCCCTCCATCCCTGGGGGGCAGTGGGCAAAGGGTGCAGTGCCGTGGGCACAGGCTGGCCCTGCTGTGAGAGGGTATCACGGTGGACCCTGCTCAGCATGGTGGGTGACGTGGTGAGGCCCTGGGCACTCAGGCCACACCGTCAGAGTCTTGAGTACGGAGTACGCACAGTCCACCCCAGGTCCAGGTCTGCTTGTGGACAGCATGCACGAGGGCCTGGCCCTGGGTCCCTGCCTCCCCTCGCCGCCCCTACAAGGTCTCACCTGCACCAGGAAGGAGTGCAGCCCGTGGCACTGGCCCCCTGGTGTGTGCAGCTGGGCAAACACCACCGCGTGAGTGGCCGTCTTGCCCATGTTGCCAACCCAAAACTTGGCAGCTTCAAAATCGGGACAATGTATGATGAATTCCTGCAAGGGGGGTGGGAGGAGAGGTGAGCTTCCCCTCCTCCACATGCCACACCCGCCAACCACCCTTGGTAATGGAGCCCTCGCAGCTGGTGGAGCCACTGGCTCCCTCTCGCCTGCGAGGGGACTGGCCTCTGTGGGCCTCTCACAAGCACACCCGGCTCATTGTCCTCAGCCCCCACAGTTCATCTGCGCGGGCCCAGGGCCCAGGGGGAGGGCGGTGCCTACCTCCGTGGCAGGGTCGTAGTGAGCTGTCGTGCGGATGGCCTTGGTGTTACTCCCGTGACTCAGTTCAGTCAGAGCAAAACAGCCAAAAATCTAAACATGCAAAGCGAGGTTTAGGGGAGAGGCATGCCCTGTGGGTTCCTGGGGTGCCATGTGTTCCTCGCAGGACAGCGCCCCCCTCCACTGGACAGCCCCACCAGCTGCCCCCCACCAGGGTGCCCGTGAGGAGCAGGCACACGAGCGCAGAAGCCTCGCCACGTCACGTGGGGCCGCGTCACACAGCCAGAACTACTCCAGGCAGGGGAGGAAATGGAGGCCTAGGCCTGGACACAAAGTGCATGCAGACCAGGACCCAATGTACCCCCTGACCGCGAGCTACAGGTTTGCCAAGACACCCACAGAAAAACAGGGGCCTTCCCTGGGAAGTCTGCCCCGCCCATTCCCCCTGACCATGACCTTACCTCCATGTTGTAGATCTTCTCCAAGTATTTCAGATGTCTTTCAGAACCTGAGCTCAAAATTGTTGACCCAAACACCTGCAATGTAACATCAGCTCGTAATCAGACGATGCTAGGCGGGTGGCTGCTGCTCTAGAGCTCACGGCTGACAGTGGACGTCACTCTACCCCAAGGGCTCCTCATCTTCCCTTCTTTGTAAGGGACTTTATATTTCATAGCATTGTATTTTATTTAAGAACCTATGTTAGGCTGGGCTCAGTAGCTCAGGCCTGTAACTAACAACTACTCAGGAGCAGAGATTGGGAAGGTTTGCAGGATGGGAGTTCAAAGCCAGCTTAGGCAGAAAGTTCATGAGACCTCATCTCAACAAATAGCTAGGAATGGTGATGTGTGCCTGTCATCTCAGCAAACACAAATAGGATTATGGCCTAGTAGGGCCAGGCAAAACGTAAGACTCTATCTGAAAAATAACAAAAGCAAAAAGGACTAGAGAGGTGGCTCAAATGGTAGAGCACTCAGCACGAGGCTGAGTTCAAAGTCTATTACCACCAAAACTAAAATAATGTATGTGTGCAAATCTGCACACACAGCTGAAAAGACTTCTCGGTAGTAGAGGCAGTATTTTTTCTAGGGAAACAGGGATTCGGGGGCCTTCAGCGCCATGGGCCCCGGCCTCTGGAAACTCACCAGCATATGAAGGACCCACTTGTTGGCCAGGGACCAGTCGTACATGCCCAGGCACTGGATGGCCGCGGGGATTCTCAGTGGCTTTGCAAACAGGTCGTCCAGGCCGCAGAAGTCATACTCGAGGATCCGCTTACACCGGAGGAAGTTCAGCTCTCGGTACTTCTCCAGGGACAGGTCGGCGGCCGGGGAGCGGGAGAAGAGAGGGTCATTCTCCAAAGCCGAGAAGATGGTTTTCTGAAACCGAGGGAGATGAGGATGGCAGACATGGAGGCGATCTTGGAGAAAGCCTCCCAGGGTCTCCCATGGCCACAGCTGCCTGGGGCACACGTGTGTGACCAGACACAGCCAGAGGAGCACGTCGTCCCCTGCTGAGAGAGGGGCCCGAGTTTCAGAAAGTGTGGGCGGTGCATCCACTCCTTCGTCCTGAGCACCCTGTTATAGGCTCCGGGCGAAGGATCCGGGCCACAATGCCCAGTTCCGCATCATGTTACAAAGCAGAGGACACAGGTCCTGAGCACTGTAAAGCCACCTTCAGCGTCCGCCGCAGTGCACGCCTCACCTTGAAGCGGACTATCTCCTCCCCCTCCCAGAAGAGCAGCAGCTCCCGGCTGCAGAAGGAGGCCCGTGCTCGGTGTGCGCTGAGCGGCCCGCGGGGCAGGGCCGGCCACGAGGCGTTGTCCTCTCCTTCAGGCCTGGTCAGGACATCGCCACTTCCCTCCGGCGTGGGGGCCATCGTCTGTCATGTGATGTCAACCTGCACACAGAACACAACTAAAGCAATGTGTGCCTCCCGTCACCCGAGCGTGAGGCAGCGCTGCGATGCCGAGACTAGAGAAGAGCAAGCAGGGCCCTCCACGCCACAGGGGAGGGCAGCGGGGCGGCGGGCCGGGCGAGCTGGCCTCACCATGGACAGTGTGGAAACAAGAGAGAGTCGAGAACCGTCCTGGAGGCCTGGAGCTCACGCCTGTCATCCCAGCTGCTCAGCAGGATGAGATGTGGGTATTGTAGCTGGGCAGAAAAGTCAGTGAAACTCTTATCACCAACTAACCAACAAAAAGAGGGGGGTAGATCTGTGGCTCAAGCGATAGAAGGCTAGTCATGAGTGAACAAGGCAAGCAAGAGCATGAGATCCCGAGTTCAAGCCCCAGCGCGCACGCATGCACGCAAACCATCCTAGAGCCAACACGGAGGTGGCCATGGTAAATAAGCATGGACAAGCCCGAGCGGCTGCAGGAAGAGGTCAGAGTGTGCCCGGCTCTGTGTCCTGTCGCACAGCCGTGCCCGAGGACACTGCAGCCTCTGGGACACAGAATGTCCAGGCTCCTCAAGGTTCACCAAACCCAGTGCCCAAGGAGCTGCCCTGCAGCTGGCCCAGTGCCTCTGCCACACAGGCCTGTCCACACAACCTCCCCCAGGGGGACCCGGGTTGCTGGCCACAGGCGTTGGTCCTGGTCTGACACACGGACCTCCCACTAACAGCAAGCACTCTTGACTAAGTTCTGGAATTTTCCTGAATAGCCCAAGTGCTTTTCCCAGAGTCCCGGCCGCTCAAGGCATGGTGGGAGGGGAATGGAGCTTCGTGACTTGAGGTGACTGAGAGAGTCATCTTGGGTTAGACTCTGTGGTGATGTTTCTGTGTGCGACAGGGGTGAGAGGTGCCAGGGAGCCTGCACTCTGCCAAGGGGAATTCTACAAAGCCTTCTTGACAAAAGAAAGCCAAGCACCCAGCCCCTGCCAAACCCAGAGACCTGGAGGCCCAGACACCTTTTCTGACATGGCTGTGAGGCGGTAGATCAGATTGGAACCCAGCAAGCAATGTGGACCCCAAGCAGCTTGGGGTGCATCAACTGGAACATGGGGAAACACATGCATAACTAAACCAAGGGCAGGGGGAAGGGAACATGCTAGAAGAGTGAAGCCAGGGAAACAGACACAAGCCTGGCAAGCTTCTATCCAGACCGCCTCCAGAAAAAGAAAGACAACACAGATTCCTGGTGGGGAGTCCAAGGGGAGCCTTTCAGACTGATCGTGAAGAAACGGGAACATGCCAGGATGCACAGTGAGTCACAGGCTGCCAATATCTAAGGTACTTCAACTCAAAGGCCAGATTCGTAGAGACACAACCTGTGAAAAATGGTTCTATGTGAAGTAGAAAAATGCAAGTAGACCTGTAGTGACTCAAGACATTAAGGCAGCCGTGGAAAAGCTTCCCACAAAGGCAAACAGAGGAGTTCAACGGAGAGTTCTGCCAAACTCATAACTTAAGAATATCAGCAGGACACTTGTGGCTCACACCTGTAATCCTAGCTACTCAGGAGATCTGAGAATCACAGTTCAAAACCAGCCTGGGGAAAGAAAAGACTCTATCTCCAACACAAAGCCTGGATGGAGCGCACGGTTCAAGTGGTAGAGTACCAGCTGTAATCAAGCAAGCTGAGCAGGAGCAGAAGACTGAGTTTAAGTTACAGAATCAGGAAGGGAGGAAGGAAGGAAGGAAAACCCACCGGTGTACAGCATGCTTTCCTTTCGCTCTTCAGGCCAGGGTAACCCCAAACCAGCAAAGGTAGCACAGGAAAATCACACGGTGCAGATGGTAGAGATGTGGAAATCCTCACTGAATTCAGCAACACATTTAAAAAGCAAAAATCAAAAAAACCCTCAAAATTTAAGAAGAATACCAGCCACGCAGCAGGAGGCTGAGGTCTGAGGATCACTGTTTGGAGGCAGCCTGGGCAGGAAAGTCTGTGAGACTCTTATCTCCAATAAACCACTCAGAAAAAGCCAGAAATGGTGCTAAGTATGGCCCAAGTGGTAGGGGACCAGCCTTGAGCAAAAAGAGGCTCAAGCACAGTACACAGGCCTTGAGTTCAAGTCCCAGGACTGTCAAACACACACACACACACACACACACACACAGAGCATCTATCTATCCTAGGAAGACAAGAGGATTCTACTTTAGAAAGTTAATTAATGTAATTCATATAAACAGATATAATCATTCATATCATAAGAGAAAAGGCATAAAAACCTCCGCGGTCATGTCAATTTAAAAAAACCCGATGGGGCTGGGAAGGTGGCTCAGTGGTAGAGCGCTTGCCTTGCATGACTGAGGCCCTGGGTTCCATTCCTCAGCACCACATAAGCAAAAAGAAAAAAGCCGGAAGTGGCACTGTGGCTCAAGTGGTAGAGTGCTAGCCTTGAGCTGAAGCTGAGGGACAGCGCCCAGGCCCAGAGTTCAGGCCCCACAACTGGACCCCTCCCCCCCCAAAAAAAGAATATCTACCAGAAGAAAAGAAAGACAATTGGCAGCAAGGGGGATGTTTAACTGCAGAGGACTGATCATCGGTTCCTCCGACACACCAAGGTGAGGGTGCCCACCCGAAGACTCTATTCAGCTTTGTACGGAAGGTCCAGCCAATGGTGCAGGAGGGTGACTTAAAAGCACCCAGATTTGAAACATTTCTATTTGAGGATAACATGATCTATAGAAACCGCTATATATTCACTCACTCTCTCTCTCTCTCTCTCTCTCTCTCTCTCACACACACACACACACACACGAACCTTTTACAACTAATAAACTTATTAGTCACCCAAGAATAATGGAGACCTGTGTCATGGGACAGAGCCTGTGGACAGAGCTCCTACAGTAGGTTCCAGCAGACCAAACCACAGCAGAATGGAGTCACTAATGCTAAATGCCACATCACCATGCTGAGACATTACTGAAGCAGCCCTGCTACACTCTGGATTTGAAATGCCCCCTAGTCACCAATGGGGTAAAGAGTTGGTCTGGGTGGATAATGCCCATAATCCAGCTACTCAGGAGGCTAAGATCTGAGATCACCGTTCAAAGATAGCCAGGGCAAAAAAGTCTCTGTGAGACTCTTCTCCAGTCAACCACCAGAAAACGGGAAGTGGCACTATGACTCAAAGTGGTAGAGAGCTAGCCTTGGACAAAAAGAGCTCAGGGACAGCACCCAGGCTCCAAGTTCAAACCCTATGACTAACACTCTCCCCCTCCCCCCAAAAAGAGTTGGCCTCATGAGGGAAGCTAACACAATCTCCAAACAGATGAAATGGGAGATGGTGGAAGCTTTAAGAGGTGGAACTAGCAGGAGGCTCTGGTGGGCCCTCAAAGGAAATTGTGGGACATCAGTGTCTTACTTTTTCTTCCTCTAGTTGGCTTCTAGCCCAGGAACCATGTGACTGGCATTTCTGCCACATGCCAGTTGTCACAGGCTCAGAGCAATGGCACTAACCAAACAGTGCTAGGACTGTAACTTCCAAACTGTGAGCCAGCCAGGCACCGGTGGCTCACGCCTATAATCCTAGCTACTCAGGAGGCTGAGATCTGACTATCGTGATTCAAAGCCAGTTTGGGCAAAAAAAAGTCTGTGAGATTCTTGTCTCCAAAAAGCCAGAAGAGGAGATGTGGCTCAAGTGGTAGAATGCTAGCCTAGAGGAGAAAAAAAAAAAAAAAGCTCAGGGACAGTGCCCAGACCCTGACTTCAAGGCCTCAGAACTGGCACACTGGTACACACACACTCACACACACACACACACACACACACACACACACACACACGGGATAAATGTCTCTGTGTGTTATGTCTCTGTGTGTTATGTCTCTGTGTGTTATCTCTGGGATTTGTTAAAACAAGCAAGCTAACACAACCAACCCCCAAACAGATGAGTTCCTGGAAATCCAAATTCCAGGCTGCCAGGGTCAAGTCAGCAGGAGGACAACCTCTCTGTTTTCGTGCAGACACAAACATAAAAAGTTCACCAATTTTGTTTTAAAGCTTGCTTTGTGCTCTGGCTAGCCTGGATTGCCATCCTCCTAGTTACAATTCCCAACGAGCTGAGAAGACAGATGCACACCAGTATACCCAGCTTGTTGGTTAGGATGAGGTCTAGTTAATTATTTGCCTGGGCTAGCCCTATTTATATCAATTCTCCTGACAGCCACTTCCTGGGTTGCTAGGATTGCAAATGGCCATTGTGCTCATCCATCAGTTGCTTTTTGACAGAGCTGCTGAGGTCATTCAAGGAGAAAGAACACTTTCAACAGCTGGTGTTGGGTCAAGTGAACATCCAACATGTGTAAGAATGAGGTTCAAGTTCACAGACACAAGGACACATTGACTCACAGGTCCACAGATGTAAATGGGGAGCTAAAAGGCAAGGGTGGGCTTGGTAACCTCGGATCAGCAAGACCTGGGAAGTGGCAGCAAAAGCACAAACAGAAGAAACTGTAAACACACCGTACATGCCATCAAAAGTGAAACCCTGGGCTTCCAAGGAACAAAAGGATTTCCTCAGAATCCCAGGATTGTGAAGCAGTCCCCCTGGAAGCACCCGGGGTCGCCTCCAACAAAGCCTGGAAAAACTTGACAAGCGAGACTGCAGGGGAGCGCATCTAGAGTCAACTGTTCGGGACTAGTTGGGTGAGCTGCCCAGGCTCTCTCACCACCCGCTCTGTCCCACACAGCGAGATCGACGACATCATTCTGTCTGCTCCGTGGGCAGTTGCCAGCTGTGTCAAACGTTTCTGATCCTCCCTCGGACGGGAGAGGCGGCTGTGATTCTCTCCTCAGGTCCACAGCCACCCCCGTCCAGTCTTCCTCCTCGGGGCAGCCAGAGTTTTGGTCTGAGTTCCTGCAGACTTGCCCCAACCAGGACGGAGCGGAAGTGCACCGAACTGCACTGGGAGCCCCATCTCGCTTAGCCCCCTGTGTGTCCAGGGACCATTCCCGGCCGGCCCAGCGCCACGCCCGTCCCGCCCGCGCCCGAACCGTGCCAACGCGCCCATCGCGGCCTGGCCTCGGCCTCCCTGCGGCCCG